TTTGCCTGGATGCTCCCCGGAAGCACCGGGAATGGGCAAGTCACCGGCGCCCTGATTGTAATTAGTTCTGTTCCTTCTCTGCCTTGTACTATAATATGAGTGCCTTGAGGATAGCTCCGGGCCTGTCGGGAGGCCCTCGGTAGGACCTAGGTAAGAATTTATGGAAAGACTAACATAACGTAAAAAAAAAAAATTTAAGTGCAATTTCTACTGAATGTGTATCACTTTTGCACTATGGTAATGTTGAAAACCTTTAAGTTGAATCATCCTAAATTGGGATCTATCCGTGTATACAATTATATTTGTCAATTATTCCTCAATAAAATTAGAAAAATAAAAAATAAAATAAAATAATCATTTTCTTTTGGGTTGTTTATACAAGAAAAAAAAAGAATTTGTGGAATGAAACAGTGCATGGAAGAGAGGCCCACGTGTCCACGGATGAACGGATAAACAGAATGAGGAGTAAACCTACAACGGAATGTTATTTAGTCTTAAAGGGGCAGGGGATTCTGACACCTGCTACAACAAGGATGAGCCGTGAGGACAATTGTGCCGAGTGAAATCAGCCGGGGAGGGAAAGACAAACTGTATGATTCCACTTATACAGTTTCCAATTACTGGGATGGAAAGCGGGAAGGCAATTTCCAGGGACTGGGAGGAGCGAGGAACGGGAAGCTTTTTGAAAAATTGTTGGTTCGACTTTTTCCACTTTTCCCATTCTGACTTGGTTGTCCTGGAGTCAGGCTCCATATCTTTTCCCAAACTCTGGAAGCTCTGGTCACTGGAACACTGGTCAAGGGTGGCTGGAGCTGAGAGCCGCAGGACCAGATGACTTCCAACAGCCTGTCTGGTTTGAGCACAGACAGCTCTCAGGAATCGCCCCAAGGCTGACAATCGCCACTTCACAGTCTCTATCACCGGCAGCAGGTTTGCTTGGAAGTATCACCATCTGGGGACAGAGGAGCCATTTTTAATGAAAAAAAAAAAAACTGAATTCCCAGAAATGACTCGTATTCCTTCCATGTTGCTTCTTTAGTTAGAGGTCGACCTCCGTCTCTGCCAGACACAGGAATTCCTGAGCCCTTCTGTTTCTCTGCACCAATTGACTCAAAACAGCTTTCCTTGGAACTATGCTCCACCCAGGGGGACAAAAGCCAAGAATGGGGACTTCTGCAAAGAAGCCACACTTGTGAATTTGAGGCTCCTTCCTGCGATGACCTGTATAGATGAGTTCTGCAGACATTTCTGGACGATGCCATCTTAATGCCTTTTTATTTCTCTATATTTATGCCAATAAAAATGCTGATTTGCACATCCAGGGTGAAATGTTTACTTTTGACTTTAAGGATCAAAAGTAGCTTCACACAGCCTGCTCCCAGACTTCTCTCTGCCCCTCCCCATTTTTCCTAACTTGGGGGCACTTGGAAGCTGTGGTCTTTGAGACAGAGAAAGGGAAAGCAGCTGAGTCATAAACTCTTCCAAGGTCGCTTCAGCTCTAATGTTCTGTCACTCTGCCCCTTCTAAACAAGGAGCTCTGTGAAAGTTTTAGCCTAGGGATTCTTGAGCCCAGCATGTAATGTTTCCTGAACTGGATCTATATGCCTAAGGAACATAAAAATAATTTTGGAGGTTTGTGAGTTCTGTAGGAGACTCCGTTGAGTCTTTGGTGATTACATAATACATTCATGAAGACATATGGCAAATAGTGGGGACTCTGTGCACGTTCCTTTCTCTTTCCTGCCAGATTTTTTGTAGTGGAAAATTCTCTTGCTCTTCATCTCAGGGAGATATCTTTCCTCCTTCAGCCTTTGTCTGCCTCAAGTCCCACAGATGCTGCTAGGGCCAGAGGTAGAAGAATTTTACGAGGGAGTTGGATCGGGAACAGCACATTTTTGAGAAGGCCACAGCATTAAGTTAATGGAATTAAAGCACGATCCCCATGAACACCATCAGGTGCCCCATGAATTTTGACTGACATTGAAGTGCATAATGCAATAGCCTTTTTTCCTTTAAATGTATAACATATGGAGGAAGTCAGGTGGAAAATGGTTTCCTGGCACAACTTTGGAAGGGAAGCTGTGATGCAGTTGAAATGTCCTGTGCAGATTAGGGAACGGAGGGACCTTGGCATGAGAGACACCCCCCCACCCCGGCCCCAGAAGCCAGGAGCATGTCGTGTGTTAGCTCATGGAATCCTCACAAACCTTCATGAGTGAAGTGTTATTACCTCCCCTTTAAGGTGAGGAGGCTAAGGCTGGACCACTTTGCCTCAGTAGTGAGGTGGGAGCCTGACCTTGAGGTTCACACAGACCTGGGATCCAGCCGGCTTCCCTGTGACCTCGGATGCTTTGCTTAAGTTCACAGCCATCAAATGTCCTCATCCGTAAAATGGGACAATGGTGGTACCTCCCTGTGACAGAGGCCCTTTCTTCTCTAGAATCGAAACAGCGATTTTAGATGTGCAATGGCATCAAGGTTAAAGATTGCATTTCTCACCTTCCCTTGCAGCTAGGTGTGGCCTGTGACAACATTTTAGCAAATGAAATGAGAGCAAACAGAAAGAACATCTTCCAAGTACCCGTCCTTAGGAGGCAGCCCACATGCCCACCGCTGCTGCTGTTGTCCCTTCCTCTTCCTTCTTTCTTTTCCCTAGTTTTTTGTGCTGGCTGGAATGTAGTCATGATGGCTGGAACTGAAGCAGCCATTTTGGACAGAGCAGATGGGTCTCTCACATATGGAATGTCATAGAAATCCCAGATACTGGCCTTGAGATTGAGGTATGGGCAAGAAATAAAGTTTTCTCTTAAGTCCCTGCAATTTTAGATCTTATTAACTCAAATCAAATCCTGATACATTTGCTAATAGAAATGTTATGAGGTTAAATGAGATATGTATGTGAAATACATATATATTTAGCCCCCAATAAGTGTTACCTTCTGTTGTTATTGTTTTATTATTATCATTACTATTACTATTATTATTATTACCTCAGCCCACCCAGGGTGGGCTGGATGACTGATCTGGAATTCTGTCCTGTGGCTGTTTTACATCAAAGCCATTATATTTTTTTATCTTCTGATTCTTACTAAGGTGAGGGTGGATGCCATGCCCATCCAAAGCTGAGAGCAAGGAGACAATCATATTGTCTGTGGACAAGGGGATAAGCTGTGGTGTTACCCTCCGGCTTGTGTTTGCACCCTAGACCTGACTCCTAGTAGCTGGGTGTTTCTCACCACCCCAGGCGTGGACATACTGACTCTGTGTGCCCTACCAGGTCCTGTGAGGATGAGCCCCATTCCTAAGTTAGCCCAGGAGTTATGGGCCACACCTGCTTCTGTTGGCTACGGATGACTGCTCACAGCCAGGAAGTTCTGAGCAAGGGGCAGGAAAAGAAAGATAGGAAATATAATGCTGATGTGGAGCGAGCTCTTATTCTGTGCTGGGCACTGTTCTGAAAGGATTTACCATGTGCTTTATTTAAGCCCAGAACATCTGTATTCAGTAGATTCTTTACAGATGAGGAAACAGAGGCAGAGCGAAGCTGAGGTGACTTTCCCAAAGACACACAGCGTAACTGGCAGCACCAGAGAGTTCAGGCGGGCAGCCCAACTCAAGGGCTCTCCTCCTTGCCCTAAACAAAGGGGCTTTCTGACATTTCCTGCTCCAAAAAGAACAGGTGGGCAGGGTAGCTTCTGTTCAAAAGGCCAGTGCCACACTAATATTCTCTGATTCCTTGGCTTCTCAGCGAGGAGCCAGTTTGAGCTGGGAAGGCAGAAGACCCTCTGGAGGGCAGTGGGAAAGAAGCTCAGAAGGGATTGGAAAACTAGGGGTCTTTATTTCCCCCGGGTCATGTTGCCTGACTTGGTGCAGTACCTAGGATCCTCACAGCAAAGGTCGGAGTTTATCCCAATAATGATAACTGAGCGCTCCCAGGGGAGCACTCCCACTTCTTTGTCCCGAGGAAATGATGGGTTTCTGCGCACCTGTTACCAGAAATGCAAGGAGAGTTCCAGTTGCTGTCTTCTCCAGCACCCCTTGGTCCCCTCATCCCTCCATCCCTTCTTCCCTGCCACGGGCTGTCTGGAGGGGACATGGACTTGGAACTGTTTCAGAGAGTTTTCTCCTTCTTCAGGCCAGCTTAGAATCTTCCAGTGATGGCTCAAAAAAAAAAAAAAATCAGATGAGAACATTTTTTTTAAAAGATTTTATTTATTTATTTGAGAGAGAGAGAACACGAGTGAGGAGGAGGGGCAGAGGGAGAAACAGGTTCCCCACCGAGCAGGGAGCCCAATGCAGGGCTTGATCCCAGGACCCCGGGATCATGACCTGAGCCAAAGGCAGACTCTTAACCGACCAAGCCACCAGGTGTCCCTAGATGACACCACTTTCATGCTTAAAACCATCCAACAGCTTCCCACTATAATTAGAGTAAAATCTGAATAGTTTCTTTGGCCCAAGGGGTCTAAGTGATCTACCACCGGATTATTGTTTTTGACCTGATTTCTTAAGCCTTCTCTCACTTGTTCTTTTCGGCTGCAGCTAGGTTGTGTGCCTCAGGGCCTTTGTACCTGCAGTACCCTCTGTCTGGAATGCTCTCCTTCTCATCATTCAGTCTCAGCTTAAATGGCCTCTCAGGGACACCTCTCCTGACCAGCCTCCCCAATCGGTCATTGCTTCAGTAAACAATGCCGCCCCTCCCCACTGATTTTCTGAATACTTAGAATAATTTGTCCTTATTTTGTTAACTAATCTGCTTGTTTGCGTACTGTCTGTCTCTCTAACCACAGTGAGCTCCAGGAGGGGCAGGGGCCTTGTGGGGTAGGGAGGGTATTGCTCGTCTCATAAAAAATGCTATACAATTGGATGGAACGATGTTTCTGAACTACTTGGCACATAGTGCTTCCCAAGTGGCATTTTTCTGGGTAATCATGCTTCCCAAATATGTTTGAAATCTAACCTTTCACGCTTTCTTTTATTTTCCATGTTTTGTCCCTCAGACATAAAGACTGCCAAAAGATAGGGAAGGCATTCACAAAGGCATTTCTTATGAAGGATCCTTGCGGCAGTACGGAACAGGACTATCAGCTGCTGATGGAGCTGACAGATGAAGCTGTCCCTTGCGACAAGGTAAAGGGGGCAAGTGATTGATTTTTAAAATGGACGATAAAAGCCAAAGGAAGGGGTCACAGGACCACATTTTGACCAGAATGAGGGAAGAGGAAAATCTGGATGTTCGAATGTATGTGTGGTTGGCCGAGATGGCATTTGTGGGGTTTTGGGGGGACTGGGATCTCATCAGGGTTTAGGATGTCTGGGGGAAGGACAGTAAGAGAGAGAAATGGGAACGGGGAAAGAGGAAGGAGACGTGGCCGACGATCAGGCAAAGCGAGCTTACCCGAAACCCAACCCAACCCAATCCAAACAAAAACGACCCAACCTTACATCATTGCCAAACTCTCCCCTGACCCCTGACAATGATGATGTTAATAATGACTCACAGTCACCCTGCAAAATAAAGAGGTCAAGAATCAACATCCCCATTTTACCAGTAAGAAAACCTAGGCTTAGTGAGGTCAGGGGTCAGTGATGGCTCAGGTCTGATGGCCTCGAAAGTGACCGGCTGAAATGTTAATAGCACAGGATTAGGAGCCAAAGAGGCCTGGGTTTTATACATTGATTGTCCCGGAAAAGGTGTGTAATGGGTACGTCTTGCGTAAAGTCCGCATTCAGGGTGAAAATTCAGTGTATGACCGGTTATCTTTGTGAAGCCCCAAGCCAGCCACATGTTACAGCCGCTCATCCTGGTGGCAGAGAGCTGGGATTAGGATGGAGCTCCTGCCTGGAGCACGGAGGGGCTGCTTGGTAAATGACCCCCAGTGACAAGTCTCGAGGCCACAGACATGGGACTAAGCACTTTATTTGCAATAGTCTCATCGCATCTCCTGAGTTCCTTACGGTTATTGGTTACCACCCATATCATTTTACAGATGGGGAAATCGAGGCATAGTGAGGCTTTGGCCGCCCGGGGTCAGACAACTGCAGGGGCTGATGAGGGCTTCCCTCCGGGGCCCACGCTTCCAGCCACGCCCTCCACAGTCTCCTGTCAAGAAGGCAGAGACCAGGGTGCCTGGGTGGCTCAGTCGGTTAAGCATCTGCCTTCGGCCCAGGTCATGATCCTGGAGTCCCGGGATCGAGTCCTGCATCAGGCTCCCTGCTCGGTTGGGAGTCTGCTTCTCCCTCTGACCTCCCCTCTCTCATGTGCTCTCTCTCTCTCAAATAAATAAATAAAATCTTTGAAAAAAAAGAAGGCATAGACCCATGGGCTCAGGATTGTTCTGAAATTTTACCTTCTCTACCTTTACAAGGGACTCTGAAGAAACTCACTGTATTTGTTTTTTTTCTCTTTCTTTTCTCTTTGTGGGGATAGGAGAGAATTGGGGAAAGAAGCAGAGGTTACAGAGCCTGTGAAGAATCAAAGAGCACTTTTCCCAGAAAACAGCCCGGAGACAAAATGGTTTTGCAGATAACTTTAGGAATTTCCTAATATCTGCTCCAGATGTGTTCTGGTTCGGTGTTTATTGTAAGATTCTGATCAGTGGCTTTCGGACTTTTTTTTGCTACACCAAAAATAATAAGGCATTTCATATTATGACTAGGAGACACACACACACACGCACACACGCACACACGCACACCCTCTAACCATGCTCTCAGGTTCACACACAGAAAGCCCTGATGTGGTCAACAACACCCACCTTTACTCTCTATGATTTTCTCTGATATTTTGTTTTTCTTTAATTTAAAAAGACGTGGGTTTGTGTGTGTGTGTGGGGGGGGGGGTTGAGACTTACTGAATTGCTCTCGATGACAGGCTGTGTTTTTCTTTCCTAGACCCTTTTCTGGAGCAAATCCAGCGAGCTGGTGCATGACTACACGCGGGTCCGGCGGGACATGTTCACGCTGGAGGACACACTGCTGGGCTACATGGCGGACGGCCTCAAGTGGTGTGGAGACCCAGGCTCTTCTGGTGAGGGTCAGGGCCTTTTGGGGTTGCCCAGGGACGTGTCGGGCAGACCGGTACCTGCCCTCATGCCATCCCCACCCTTAATGACAATCCAGGCTCATGTAAAATAGCATTCTTTAGATCAACTCAGTTTTCTAGAAGAATCAACTTCAGAGTTTGGGCTTGTCCGTGTTCCCTGATTCCCTCCTTCCTGAGAGCTGGTGTAGCTGCTTCTGGATTGGAGGTGTTCTATTTTCTCTGAGGCCGTTATTCAGGACTAAAGGGTGCTAGAGCCGGATGCAGCCTGAGAGGAGCCAGGCCAAAGCCCTTGCTCCACAGAATGGCCGTGGCCACGACCACGGCCACAGCCACGACATCAGAGGGCTGGGCTCTTCCGTGTCTCAGGCCAGTGTGGGGCTTTGCTGTCATTTTTCAGAGGCCACCTTACCTTGTCCAGAAAGACCCAGAACACCACACTGTGGGAAGGTTCTTTCTACTCAGAAAACTCTATTGAGCCCGTTTTCACTTCTTTTCTTTCTCTTTTTATTTATAGTGTGCATGTTTTTACTTTATATTGTTTTATTCTTATTTTTATTGCTTTTGGCTGTTTTTCTTTTAAAGATTTATTTATTTATTTGAGAGAGAGAGAGCACTAGGGGGAGGAGCAGAGAGAGAGAGAGAGAGAGATAGAACCCTCAGGCAGACTCTCTGCTAAGGGTGGAGCCCAACTCGGGGCTTGATCCCAGGACCCCGAGATTTTGACTTGAGCCGAAATCAAGAGTCAGATGCTTAACCGACTGAGCCACCCAGGCACCCCACTTTTGACTGTTTTAAAAAACTTATTATACGTGCTGCCGAAGCAAGCACTTAAAAAAACTTACTATAAAACTTCATCGCAGGTTTACATTATTTCCAATTACAAAAATGATGCATGCTTATTTGCAAAGTACTTGCATGTTATAGAAATGTATAAAAGTAAAAAATGAAGGTCACCCTGCCCCTCCCCCACTCCTCAGTTTCCATATCATTTCTCAAAAGGGGAATGTTGTCAACAATTCGGCACGAATCCTTCCACACATGGCCCCACACTCACATAAACACATATATTAAAATGTACACATACTATTCTGCAACTTTGCTTTATTCATTTAGAATTAGTAGATAGAAATACAGCCATATTGGGGTGCCTGGGTGGCCCAGTCGGTTCAGCGCTAGACTATTGGTTTGGGCTCAGGTCGTGATCTCAGAGTCATGAGACTGAGCCCCGGGTCAGGCTCCCCGCTCAGTGCAGAGTCTGCTTGGGTTTCTCTCTCCCTCTCCCTCTGCCCCTCCCTTCTGTGCTCGCTCTCTTTCTCTCCCTCTCTCTAAAATAAATAAATAAAATCTTAAAAAAAAAATACAGCCATATTTTTTAAAAGCCCTCATTTATTTCCTCTATGGATGTTATCATAACTTATTTAACCAATTTCCTATTGATGGACATTTAGGTTGAGATATTGCTATCGCAACTGTTGCAAGGAGCACTTGTGTATACAACACACTCACAAACACACTCACAAACACACACACACACACACTCACAAACACACACTCACACACACCATGGGCACATGTACATCTGCCTGCTTGGGGAAGTACTTCGGAAAGATAAATTTCTACGAGTGAAATTTCAGTGCCGAACAAATTGCGGTAGAAACTGACACATTGTCATTCAAAAGGTGGTAACCATTTACACTCTCATCAGAATATAGGTTACTTGTTTGCCCAAACTCTCACCAACACTGGTGCAACTTATAAAAATGTCTTTGCCGATTTGATAAAGAAATAATACCTTGACTTGTTTTGCTTTGCTCTGACAGTGAGGCTGATCATATTTATTTATTTAATGGTAGATATTTCTATTTCTTTTATAAACTGGCAGTTCGTATATCTCAGCCATTTTTATTGGGATGCCTGTTATTTTCGTACTTATAGATGTTCTGTATAAATTCAAAATAGTAGCTAATACTTATTGCTCACTTACGAAATCTCAGCCGTTAGGGGCGCCTGGGTAGCTCAGTTGGTTAAGCGACCAACTCTTGATTTTGGCTCAGGTCATGATCTCAGGGTCGAGCCCTGGGATCAAGCCCTGTGATTGAGCTCCGCATCAGGCTCCATACTCAGTGTGGAGTCTGCTTGTCCCTCTCCCTCAGCACCTCCCCGCATTCATGATCTCTCTCTCTCTCAAATAAATAAATAAAGTCTTAAAAAAAAAAGAGTCTCATGCTCTACCAACTGAGCCAGCCAGGAGCCCCTAAATTTTATAGTTTTTGCCATGTTTCCTGCTTTCCATTTTGGATTTCCCATTTTGCAAGTCAGCTCTTCTTAGTCATTCATTTAATTCTTTTAGGTTTTAAAGTTGTTTACCATAAAACCTTCTCATTTTAGCTTTATTTTTCAATTCTAAATAATGTACTCTCTGAAAGCAGGGCTTCTATCTGATTCATCTCTTTCTCCCCAGGACCTAACACTCAATTAAGGTTTGTGTAGTCAAGTGCAATGAGTAAAAAAACAAAAATTATGTACACATATACACACACATACCTATATACACACACCATGGAATATCATTCATTCTTTTTTAAAAAAGAAAATCCTTGGGGTGCCTGGGTGGCTCAGTCGTTAAGCGTCTGCCGTCAGCTGAGGTCATGATCCCGGGGTCCTGGGATCAAGCCCCGCATCGGGCTCCCTGCTCCGCGGGAAGCCTGCTTCTCCCTCTCCCACTCCCCCTGCTTGTGTTCCCTCTTTCGCTCTCTCTCTCTGTCAAATAAATAAATAAAATCTTAAAAAAAAAAAAGAAATCCTGCCATTTGCAACCATACAGATAAATCTGAGGGCATTGTGCAAAGTGAAATAAGCCAGACAGAGAAAGACAAATGCATGATATCACTTACATGTAGAATCTTAAAAAAGAAAAAAAAGTCAAACTCCTAGAAACAGAGAGAAAAGTGGTTGCTAGGGGCTGGGAGGTGGAGGAATGAGGGAGAGGTTGGTAAAAGGGTACAAACTTTCAGTTATAAGATGAGTAAGTTCTGAGGTTCTGATGTACAGCATGGTGATTATAGTTGCTAACACTGTTTATATAATTGAAATTTGCTGAGAGTAGAACTTAAATGTTCTCTCATACACATAAAGAGATCAATATGGGAGGTGATAAATGTGTTAAATTAACTCCATGTGGGGGTATCCTTGCACAATGTCTCTCTCTTTCTCTCTCTCTCTCTCTATATATAAATCCTCACATGGTCCACTTCAAATATCTTACAATTTTGTCAATTATATCTCAAAAAATAATTTAAACAATTTTTGTGCATTTGACAGATATGCTTGGGAGAAGTACCGTGGAAACAATGTACTCATGCTCTATACCTGCTGAATCTCACTGACTCCTGAGCCTGTCTTGTTGGGGGAGAGTGAGTGTAGGAGGACTCAGGGGTTCTCTGAGCCTGGGGATGTGGGGACTGAGGCAGGTCGAGGAGGAAAGCTGTCAGCCAGAGAGAGTTGGCAGGAAGCAGAGGAGTAATTGGAAAGAGGGGCCCCTGAGGGCCCAGTTTTATCTCTAGTTTTTCCTGGATGAGGGGATAATGTCGAGGGCTTGTTTCTGCCAGATGAACTTTGGCTGCAATTTCCCAGAACGATGACTCAAAGCTGGTCACTGTGTTCCCGTCTGGAATTTGGAGGGTAAGGTAAGGACTTGGAAGGGATTCAGGGGGCATTTAGTGAAATTGGGGCCAGATGAGTCCATTCTCCATCCTCCATCTTGGCAGTGATGCCATTGAAATATGGCTCCACTGTGATCGAACAGCCCGGAAAAAACAAAGCTTAATTATACCCTTACTTTTCTGCTTTAATTATTTTCTAAAAACCATGTCTTTTAGAAATGAACTATCACTCTTGTCCCGACTGGAGGGAAGACTGCAGCAACAACCCTTTTTCTGTATTCTGGAACACGGTGTCCAAAAGGGTAAGTACCAAAAGGGAAATTTTTAAAATTTTGGAGACCAAAGAACTTAAGAGGTCATCCTGTCAGTGGTTGGTTTTAATCCTTTTTAGATCACAGATCCTTTTAGGAAAAAAAGTTTAGGATTCTTTCTTGAGAATAAGGTACCTAAGCACATAACAGAAGATTTTCACATATAATTTTAGGTCATTCATAGAGGGTCCATAAGCTTTAGTTGGTGAATCCCTGCTCTTACCCAGGTTTTGGCTTTGGTTCAGCTTGGTTTAATGCTCTGATCTAGGCGCTGGCCTAACTTAGATCCCTGATCGATCTGAATAATCAGTGTTTGCAGACCGCTTACTATGTGCCAGGTAGAGGCACATAGTACACGTATTAAAAGCTTTCATCCTCACAAGAATCCTATCAAGTGGGTACCATGTGTACCCATTTTACAGATGACAGAATGGAGGTGCAGGTAAATACACTGTCTACTAACCATACACAGTAAGTGGCAGATCTGGGAGTTTGTCCCAAATTCTCTGACTCCAGATCCAGAATTCCCACTGGGAGTTACTCCCATCATCCCTCGGAGGCCCCATTGCTCTCTATTTCTGACTTCACTCTAAGCGGCCTTGGTGTACATTTATTTTTCTTATGAGTTGCTTCTCTGCAAGTGGACTAAGGAAAAGAGGGAAAGCAAGGAATAAAGAAAGAACTGGAGGAGAGAAAACCAGGGAGAAAGTAAAACAATACTATTTATAATTCTCCAGAATTGAGTCTAGACATCAGAGGAACTGGGCAAGTGAAACTCACATTTGCTAAGTGCATATTCATGACAAGTCCTGGGCCAGATGCTGTACCCGCGTCATCCCAGTTAGTCCTCACCATAGGGGCTGTGGGAAGGTGCAAAGACTCAGAGGTTAAGTGACTCATCCAAGGGCAACAGCCTAGTTTGTAGAGGAGCTGAGAGACTCACCGTCCTTAAGGAGATTCAGGTAAACTCTAGTATGGTAGAGAAGAGGAGGATGGCCTGGGATTTGATGTAAGGAGACCATTTAAACGTGGACAGATTCTTTTTTTTTTTTTTTAAAGATTTTTATTTATTTATTGAGAGAGAGAGTGATAGAGAGAGAGCATGAGAGGGGGAGAGTCAGAGGGAGATGCAGACTCCCCGCCGAGCAGGGAGCCCGATGCGGGACTCGATCCCGGGACTCCAGGATCATGACCTGAGCCGAAGGCAGTCGCTTAAACAACTGAGCCACCCAGGCGCCCCCGTGGACAGATTCTTTAACTGTTCTGACCTTCAGATTCCTCATTTGTCGAAGAGGGGTAAGAATAATGGTTGTCCTGGGGTGCCTGAGTGGCTCACTCCATTAAGCATCAGACTCTTGATTTCAGCTCAGGTCACGATCTCAGGATGATGAGAGGGAGCCTTGTGTCAGGCTCCCTGCCCAGCAGGGAGTCTGCTTGAAGACACTCTCCCTCTACACCTCTCCCCATTCTCTCTCTCTCTCTCACTCTCTCAAATAAATAAATCTTAAAAAAAAAATAATGCTTGTCCCATGGGGTTACTGCCATGTTTAAACAAGATACCCCTACCCCATTAACTAACTCAGAATGCGTTCCTTTAATGAATATGTTGAGCACCTACCAAGTGCTGCGTAATTATACAGAGGCACTTATAAATTGTTGTTTGCTTGCTTGCTGTTTCTGAGAAAGGTTCCTACTTACTTTCTCACTCTCTGCTATATTTTGGGGTAGTGCTATTGTGAACAACTCTTAAAGCCAAGCCACATTTCATATGTGTCACGCACCAACCTGGAGCTAAGAGCACAGTGGTGAAGGTGATGGAAGGTACCCTACCATGGTGAGCTACCCTGGGGCTGCAGCTTTATTTTGGCTAAATGCTCACAGATGTACCAAGAAAACCTTGTGTTATCAGATGAGAGCCTTCCTTTTGCTCACAAGAGAGGCAGAACTGCTTGGGGTTTGAATCCCCCTTGCACTTCCTTGCTTCCAAGTGATGTGACTTTGGGGCCAATTGACCCAATGCGTATTTCCTGGGGGCTCTTGAGAATCATAGATGGCAGGCTCAGTGCTTGGCCCCCGGAAGGACTCTGTTGACTTAGCATTTGTGATTGTTAGAAATCAGGCCCCTATCCTCTGTTCATCACCCCCAGCAGAAAGACAGAAGCTGCTCTGGATTCTTATAATTTGGTTTCCAATGGTTCAGTGGTGTCTCATCCCCTGCAGAATACAGGTCAGATTCCTTGGCCAAGCATTCACGGCCCTCTGTGAACTCACTTTTCTAGCCAACTTTTGCATCCACTGAGGTTTTCACCAAAACCACTGTTTTCTCAAACCCCTAGGCCTTTCTGTTTGCAGCTGCCTCAGCCTTTCTGGGGTGAGAGCCTATCTGTCCTGCAGGACCTAGCTTTTGTTGCCCTGTGCCTTGCCTTTTCTATTTCTTTCCTAATCTCCATCACTAAGCATTTAGACTTCTTGCTTCTTTTTCCCTCCCTTCCTCCTTCCCTCTTTTCCCTCTGTAGATTTTCTCTGGGTGCCCACTCTGTGCTATGCCCCAGCTCCAAGCTCCAGGGCTGTGGTGGCAGGCAGGATAGCCAGGCTCGAAACTCTCAAAGAGTGCTCAGTACCGTCCATTTAACAACCCGTGAACAATGACGTTGACCTTCATTGTTCAAACACAGATTGGAGCAACTGCTTCCAGAATTCTCCTGTGAAGCATAATCCTGCCAATGGCTTAGGATGCAAATTACATACACCTGGCATTACTGAGGGAGAATCATACAGGCTCTTCCCTCCTTAACCAGTTAATGCTAAGAGTTGTTTTGGAAGGAGCTGCTGGGGTGTGGCAATTAAATTTGCATGCTGAGGAATGGTGGGCTTTTTTTTTTTTTCTTTTAAGTTTGCAGAAGATGCCTGTGGTGTGGTCCATGTGGTGCTCAATGGGTCCATCAGTAACACCTTTGATGAAAGAAGGTACTCGTTTCTTTGAGTCCTATTTGCAAGTGTTAGTATAGCCTCCTATTAAATATTTCATCCCTGGAAGAATATGCTTTTCATGGTCAAGTCAGTACTGAAGATTTGGGCTAAAGAGGTAAAATGTTTGTTTTCTATGGAGACGGTTGTCTAAGTCAATGCTTTTGTCTGGTGTCTCCTTTGTGTAAAATCCTCTAAATGTCCTGTCAGCCCTGCTCTGTGACCAGCCCCTCCTCTTGGCTTTTCAAGGCCTGGTGCAATTTTCTGAGCTCTCCCAACTTCCCGTCTTTGTTCATGCTGTTCCCCCTGTCCGGCCCCCATCTGCTCTCCCCACCATCCACGAAGATCTGGCCTGGCTCCTCTGTCCTCCATGAAGATTGTGCGTCCCAGTTAAGCAGTCAGACCACTACTGTGCTGGGCTCTTGGCCTGCACGATCTCTTTCTAGGCATTGCCCATCATTTATTGTAGTGGTTGAAAGCAGGGGGTCCGTCCGGTCATGACCCGTTACCTGTGTAACCGATGGCTGGGCTCCTAACCTCTGGGAGCCCCTGTAGTATGCACCAGAAGAGGTGGTGGTGGTGGTTGGAAGATTAGCTGAGATGACATATGACAAGGGCTGAGCTCTGTGCCTCACAACAGAGAGAGGGCTCAGCGGGGATTAGCTGTCATTCCCCATTTAATCCACAGTGCTGAACCTGGCCACACTGATGCCCTTCTTCTCTGACCTCTTCTATACTTAGTTTTTACCACATTGGATACTTCTCCAGCCTTTGTTCTCTAGTATTTCCCTGGAAAAGGATTGAGAAGAGAGGCAGATACTGGTGGGCTACTCCAGGCTCTCTGGATACCCCAAATGAATTTTCCTTCTCTCCTGTTTTAGTATTTAATTGTGCAACGAAGCATTTGTCCTTTTGTCTTCTTCTGACCCTAAGCTTGCAGGCTTTTGGGTGAAAGTGTTAACACCCCATGATTTTATAATCTGATATTCGGCGTCCAGCTACTTGCAATGGCTGTCAGAGACCAATGGGGAAGAGTTTGGGGCTGGGGTCCGAGCAGCGCACCAGGGGCTCTCAGAGCAGTGCATCTCGAACCTCACTGAATGTGGGTCATCTGGGGACGGTTCAGCTGCAGATTCTGCTTCAGCAGGTGCTGGTGGGCTGAGATTCTGCAGGTTCCAACTAGCTCCCAGATGATGCTCATTATGTCGGTGCAAGGCCCCCCTCTTTGAATAGCAAGTATTTAAAGAATCACCATCAAGGTACTGATTAAGAATCTTATTTTGAGACTCTTATTCAATGAGGGTCACACTGGTTGAGACTGGCTGTTTCTAGTACAAATCACCGGTCAATCCCAAAGGGCAGGTTCTAACCAGTGGTCCCCTGCCTGCTGGCTCTTGACAAGGCCTGGGAATGGCTGAACAATTCAGTTTGGGGTTAACAATATTCTCTGTCTCATCTATCGTAGCACTTTTGGACGTGTGGAAGTCTTTAATTTGCATCCGGAGAAGGTTAATAGACTAGAGGCCTGGGTGATGCATGACATTGGAAGTGTTCACAGGTATACATTCCTACTTTGTGCGTGTATATCCTCGGGGTGATTTTCGGAATCAGTCCATGGCAGAAGCCACAATGATAAGAATGCATTGAGAACAGAGTGACCAGGAAATGACTGGGGCCTCCCTGGACATGCCGCCCATCCTAACAACCTCTCAGTTTCATATCCACAATAAGTATCTGTGCAGTTCACACTATCAGCCCCCTGCTGCCCTGTGAGCTCTTAAAAACAACTTCTGCTCCCCTCTCCCAGGGCCTGACCCAGGGCTTGCTACCTAGAAGAAACTGAGAGCAGGAAATGTCTGCAAGAACCTTATTGCTTAACTCTTCTTTCTTTCTTTCTTTCCCAGTGACTCATGCTCAAGTTCCTCCGTAAATGATCTGAAACAGATTCTAAAGAGAAGGAATATTACATTTTCTTGCCAGAATAATTACCGGTAATTGACTTCTTGAAAAAGAAATGGCTGTTTTGCCATTTGTGGGTGTTTTCCTCTCCTCGGCCTCCTCTGAGCCCGGAGGGCTGTGGGAATCCCTCTTGGGCCTTGTTGGTGATCTGGGATGGTGACCTATGGTGAGCATTCCTCCTCCCCCCCACCCCCCGGGCTCACCCTACAGGCTGTGTCCAGCCAGTGGCCTTCCATTGGCCACCTTTCCCCTATCTTCCTCTTCCTTTCTTCTCCACCTGTCCCCAGTTATTGATTTGCCTCTGAAGCTGACCCAGCTTTCGAGAACGTATTTCCTGGTTTCCTACATGAGACACCTGACCCCAGGGCTTGCAAACCTGCTGGCTTTCAGGGAAGTGGAGGCACATTTTGTCCAGTGCAAAGGATTTGTAAAATCCTTGTGACATGGCAATATTTTGCATGTGAAGTTTCTTTAGTTGGATCTCAGTGTAGATGCCTAATACTTGATAAGTTACCACATGGATGTCTACTAAACTTTATCTTTTATAAATTAGAAAATGTAAGATCTTAATTTTTTTTCAAAGATTTTATTTATTTGACAGAGAGAGAGACACAGTGAGAGAGGGAACACAAGCAGGGAGAGTGGGAGAGGGAGAAGCAGGCTTCCCGCTGAGCAGGGAGCCCGATGCGCGGCTCGATCCCAGGACCCTGGGATCATGACCTGAGCTGAAAGCAGACGCCCAACGACTGAGCCACCCAGGTGCCCCTTATTTATTTATTTATTTATTTATTTATTTATTTATTTATTTATTACCAGTAATACATGTTTATTGGGAAAAAGTTTAAAATTACAGATGGTATATATTTTTAAAGTCATCTGCAACTCTGTTATCCAAACTGGGACCCTCACTCATTTTTAAGTAGTTGTGTCACGGACTCCTTGCTAGAAGCATCTTTGGAGATTTGCCCATAAGTGATGGCTTAGAACAAGGATGCGGACAGAAAAATTTTCTCAAAGAACACAGAGGCTGGAATTCAAGAACCCTTTTCCTGTCTCCTTCTGTCACCACCTTCTCCCACCAACCCTGTCAGAAAGGCAGAAGGACAGATTCCGGGAACATTCACCGAGGGCTTTTGTCTCAAAATGACCTGAATTCCCCCTCAGTCAGCTGGCTCCTCTCTGGAAACTGCCAGAAAAATAACACAAGCTTTCTACCGCAGTTAGATGGGAAAACAAGCCGAACCAAGGAGCGAGAACAACCATAAAAGAAGCATTGCAGACATCTGACCAGTCTCAGTTATTCAAAGATATTTCGTGTTGGGAAAATAGAACACTAAACACCTAGGAGAAGATTGGGGAATGTACATGGGTCTTATCCTCAACATCCCCTGTTTTTCTCATTTTAATCATTCCCCTTTCTTTCATTAATGGCCATCAGTCAGCCTCATTCATACCGACTGCAGGCTCCAGATGAGCTCACTTTCTCCACCTGGGAAGAAGGTAAAAACGTACCTTCCATCTGGACTTGTACAGTGGCCCATGTTGAAGGAAGTGATTTGTAAGCCAGCACCTGTCATTCTGAGCATCAGCTCATGGGACCTTAAATTTGGGGATCATATTTGAAATCACTTAGACCTTTTCTCCAACCACAAGGTTTAATATATTCAGCATGATTCTTTAAATTACCAGCTCCTCGGGGACCCTTGTTGTATCTTAAAAGTTCTGTGGCTTTGCAAGAAAGCTGCTTGTCCCCACGGGAGCCTGAAGTGAATGTCAGGGATATAGACGTCGACTGAAGTTGAAATCACTCCATGCCAGACATACTTCCCAGTTTATCAAACTTTTGTCCAGCTGTTGCAGTGTGATTGTGTAATAGGCAAGTAGAAGTGTAAATACATTTATATAGATTAGACCTTCTACTGATTCTGCTGTTATCCCCTTATAAATCCCACCCAGAGACAAATGCTATTAACATTTGGCTGTATATCCTTCAAGTCCTTTTCTTTTTTCCCATATGCACACTCACACTCCTGATGAAATATATACAGAATTTCTTCACATATGTTCTAACCAGTGGAATGAACAGAGAGTCACAGTACTTTTATGGATGACCTTAAAAATATCAGCATGTTTTTTCCTGGTTAGTGCCCCCTTGTGACATATTTATTAAAAACCTAAAGGGTGCACTTCTACCTCTATGTTACTTCAAAATACACTCCCTCTCTATCCATCAATGTGTTACCCAAAGGGTGTCCGTTTTATTGTAACACTGGATGTAAATATTTATATATCTGTGGAAAGAGATCATCTTAACGGCATAATTGCTGTTAATAATCACTTTCCCCCTGGAAAGTATTCATGCGGGGCTACCATATTGGTGAAGATGGAGTGACTACACCTAGAACCGCTGTGCCCGGCTGGTCACGGTAATTGGCCAGAAGTGAGCCTGAGATGGCCCATTCCAGAAGCCTGGGGGTGCTGGTAGCTGCTTCTAAGGATCTCTCTCTTTCTTGACTCACATTTAGCAAAATCAGATTCAGCTACAGTTTAATGAACCACATTCCTTACTATCCACCCTTCTGCAGAGGCCAGCCACTCCCATTGGACCCTGTTGTTTTCTTACCTCATTTTTATGAAACAGAGAGCCACTCACTGGCTAGATTCTTACCTAGGATTTGTTCTGTGCAAAGGACGTGTGGTCTTCCTGCTAATGGCTACCAGCCTTTCCCAGAGAGTCTCTACCCTCCCTTCTGCCCCTGCCCCTGACCCTGCTCAGCCCTCTCTCAGGAAGCTTCTGAAGAGAAGAAGGCAAATCATCAACAGGAAAGATGGAGGTCTCTCATCGCAGGTTGCTGCTCTGTTGTGTCTTGATCATTAGCTGACATTCATAGCATGTGTCTGTGACGTGTTTGAGCCACACATTTGTTTTCATTTCCACACGTTATCATCAAACATCCCTTCTCAGTATTTATTTCTGTGGCTTTACAAGTGAAATGAAACACAATCGGGCCATACTTTAAGTTGTTCACTCCTGGACTTGACCTTTCTCTGTGTTGTCACTGCAGGAGAGGAAGCTGTGTGGATGCTGAGTGGTCCATGCGTACTTTTGTTGCTAATGGAGGGGCTGCTTGTATTGGGGAATTGAACCATAGATGTCGTGTACTGCTGACTGATCTTTCTTTTTTTTCCTTTTCTTTCTTGTCATAGGCCTATCAGGCTTCTTCAGTGTGTGAAAAATCCTGGGGATTCATCTTGCTGATCTTACATATGAGCCAATCAGCACGGTCGTTTCAGATCTTTGAGCCTTGCAGTATATACTGGCATGTGTAATTCAGGAGACACGCTGCTGGGAAGCTGAAGACTTGGGGGAGGGGGATCTTCTGTCATGATGCCAACACTAGAGTTAGAAGCCTTTCCCCCAAACTTTTAAAATAACATGTTATTGGCGTAGTTTTTATTTTGATTTCCTAAAACTCATGAAAAAAATTATGGTGTATTAGAATGAAAATTTTATATTAAGTTATTTCATTTTAATTTTCATAGGTGCTTTTATGTTGTTTATATGTTGGTAGCATCCTTTCTGTTGAAAATGACTATACCAAACCTCTCTTACTGGTGCAGGTAATTAAGAGAAAGTAAATGACCATGAATGACCTTGTCTCAGGATATATTTTTGTACCCTTTCTACAAATAAAGTATAAATGCCGTGGTTATGGGTCATGTTGGGAAACGAATTCTATAGGATATAAGCTACTCATGTGCTTTACCTCCCACTCTTCCAACAGCCCTATGAGGTTGGTACTGTTAACTCCCATTTGTTGGTTAAGAAATGGAAGTTCAGAGAGGTTATGTAATTTGCCTAAAGTCATACATTTAGTTCAAGGTAGAGGCTGGATTTCAACTCAGCTCTGTCTGACTCCAAAATATATATGCTCTCTTTCTAGGCCTATAATACCAGCTGACATGCTTTATGTTCTCTTCTAATAAATGCATGTTGGGTTAAATTGAATATAATAGAATCTGAACTGTGGTTTTTCTTTTTAAAGATTTTATTTATTTATTTGACAGAGAGAGAGACAGCGAGAAAGGGAACACAAGCAGGGGGAGTGGGAGAGGGAGAAGCAGGCTTCCCACAGAGCAGGGAGCCCAGTGCGGGGCTCAATCCCAGGATCCTGGGACCATGACCCTGTTCAATGAACAGACACTTAATGACTGAGCCACCCAGACGCCCCCGAACTGTGTTTTTTCTGGGTATCTTCAAAAACAGATACATTTTTTTCCCTCTTCATCCTCTTCCTTCTCCTCCTGCTCAGTGTCTTACATATATAATAGGCAGTTAAAATATATATATTTGTTCCTGATACTGGGAATTTGTTCTCCCTTTTTTTCTTGATTAGTCTTGCTTGGGAATTTATCACTTTTATTACTCTTTCAAAGAACTAACTTTTAGTTTTGTTTTCTCTTTCTGTTTAATTGGTTTTCACTCTTCTCTTTATTATTAGGGATATAAAAATTTCTTCTAATTTCCTTGGGTTTCCTTATTCAGCTTCTTAAGATGGAAGCTTAGATCATTGATTTTTCAGCACACTTTTTTTTCCTATATATCACTTAGTACTATAAATTTTCCTCTGAATGCTGCTTTAGCTGCAGATCTTAAATTTGGTATGTCTCTTTTTATTATCATTTAGTTAAAAATATTTTCAAATTTAATTGTTATTTAGAAATGTGTGGACTTAGTCTTAGAAAATATATTGTAAGACCTAAGGAGTGATTGTGGAAGCAGCTAAAGGTCAGCAGCATTCCTGTTCTCGAGCTATTGAACAAAGTGGCCCGGTAGGAGCAGGATCCCATGATCCCCAAGGACAGGGCATGAGTTAGGAGTTATGAAACAATGTGACACTCAGTCCCCCCTTTCTGCACTTGATGAATGCTAGCCCAAACATCCCACTCTTCCCTTATCCCAAGACTCCCTGCATGCCTATGTGTAGGGGAGAGTGCAAGCCTGCTTCAAGATATTTGCCATCCCTTTGCACTCTTTCCCATGATTTGAGGCATCTGTCCTTGCTTTTCTGATAAAAAAAACAAAATAAAAGTTATGTGCAAGATTCAGCTGCTGCTGCTCTCCTTTGCAGAGGCAGCCCTGCACGGCTGCTCAGATTGGTGTCTGAGAACTTTATTTCAGCGCGCGATGACAGAAATGTGTTGCCTAATTTTCAAACATCTGGAGATTTTCTAGGTTTTTTTTTCCTAAGTGTAGATTTGTTGTTGGGCGCCTGGGTGGCTCAGTTGGTTAAGTGGCTGCCTTCAGCTCAGGTCATGACCCTGGAGTCTAGGATCGAGTCCCACATCGGGCTCCCTGCTCAGCTGGGAGTCTGATTCTCCCTCTGACCCCACCCCCCTCATGTGCTCTCTCTGTCTCTCTCAAATAAATAAATAAAATCTTTAAAAAAATGTAGATTTGTTGAAGAATAAACTAATTTGAGGGTCTCTCAGGGAACCCATTAGTTTTGTTGAAAACAGCATAAATTTTGGAGTCAGCTGTTTCTAGGTTCATATTTTGGCATTGCTCTGTAATTGTGAATGAAATACTTACCTTCTTTGAACTTTGGCTCCCTTGCCACTCAAATAAGGATTATCATTTACCCCCCTGAAGGTGTGGTGGGACTAAAAGATGACAACAATTAACAGCGTAGTTTGGTGCCTCATAGGTCAGCAAGCATTCCACAAAGGTTGGCCCCTTTCTGCTGGCCCCTGGCTGGCAGTCCAGTTTCCTTCAGGAGTCATGGCAGCTGTAGCCACTGTGGGCAGTCCACAGATTCTTCTTATGTGGCCCCCATGTACACATATGCACATCCTCACAGGCTTTAGTTTGGGCTGGACATGAAGATGGATGCTCAAGACCAGTTCTGATTAAGGCTCAGGCTTGCCCCAGGGTTCAATGAACTCCATCTGCAGAATGTCTTCAGTGATAAGTCCCTGCTAACCCCCTGGGTGACCTGGCTGTTTTCCTCTCAGGACCCTTTCTGCCTTACTGGTGGGCCTTCTTGATGATTTCTGGATTCTCTAATGTATTTTCCTTCTTCCCCAGGATACCCCTTGAAGTGTCAGAAAAATTTTGTTCTTTACATCCCCTTCCACAGATGAAACAGATAGAGTAGCAGTCAGTTTGCAAGAGGCTTCCCCCAAGAAGGCTCAGTTGAGTGTTCAAGTTCAAAGCTGGTGGAGACTAAGAGGAGGCTGATCCCAAGGTTTTCACACTGTGCACAGAGTACCCCAGCGAGCTCTGGGAGTATAGGGGGACTGGGGCACTCTTTCCTTGTATGCCATCTCTGTATCTTCATTCCCATGATGCCCATCCCTGCCCCCTGTCTCTCTGCATTTCCAACTTTGGGTATCTTTGCATGACCGTGACTGTGACCATGCAGCCATCTCTAGTCCTAAGGACCTTCTGGCCTACATGTATGAATATATCCTTCATATCCCTCTTCTTATAAGTGACATCCTCACTGAATTACTGACTGCTCATAGCCTCATACTTTACTCATCAACCTGCTGCTCCCTGTCTCCCCACTCCATTCATGCTTGCTCTAGAATATGCTCTTACCATCCCAACTTGTACCCACCATCATACTTAACCCAAAGGATGTAACCTAGGACCTAAGTTCCCCTTTTCTCACTCCCGAAGGCTCACTATTTTCTTTCTGTAGTGGTTCTTGACCTTAGAATATTTGAGACACTCTTTAAATACAGTTCTGAAATTTTAGGTTGAATACTTGAAAGAAGACACACACATAAACACATGCATATATATATATATAGCTCTTGTTGGAAACAAGCTCAGTTCATGTCTGCACACTCCCTGATACAAAGGACCCAGCAGGAGCAGTGCTGATTTACTTCCTGGCATCTCATTTCTCCTTAAACAATTCCTACGACTGTGACTTGAGTTTCTCAGGTAGAATCCATACTACACAGAAGGTTCGTTTTTTAAAAGGCAAGGATATATGTTACTCATGGCAAATTAAAACTGTATGAAGTAAGATGTTAAAGTAAACCTAGAGTATGCCATAACTTTGAAAGGCATTATGGGAATGCAGTGTTAACCCAGGCATTCTCTCAGTTTTTAAAAAATAATGAAGCAGTTTATTTATACTACTAAGAGTTGTCATTTTTTTTAAAGATTTTATTTATTTATTTGACAGAGAGAGACACAGCGAGAGAGGGAACACAAGCAGGGGGAGTGGGAGAGGGAGAAGCAGGCTCCCCGCAGAGCAGGGAGCCCGATGCGGGACTCTATCCCAGGACCCTGGGATCATGACCTGAGCTGAAGGCAGTCGCTTAACCAACTGAGCCACCCAGGCGCCCCTAAGAGTTGTCATTTTTAACACATATGTTTTTAAACAATTCATCGGGAACTCAGTAGCTGGGTGTGCTTCCCTGAGAGGCAGTGGTTTGCTGGCTTTCACATCATACTCACAAAACACAGAAGGCTTTGTACTGGTCCCTGACAGGGCATTTATCCTCGAACTTGATTCACATAGATGCACAGTGCCGTTCATCTTCTGATTGAAGTGTAAGCTGCCCAAGGTAGTGAAAACCATGCAATTAACTCATAGTGACCCACTGGAGCAAATTCATGGCTTCTGTGAATCTCAGGTTCAAAATGTACTTATAATAGACATAAATAAATTACACAAACAATAAAAGAATAATAAAAGACTTTGTGCAATCATTTTTTTAAACAGTTATCTCTGCAAATACCAGATGATCTCATGTATATTTGGAATTTTAAAAAGTCAGACTCATAATAACAGAGAGTAGAGTGGTGGTTGCCAGGGGCTGGGGGTGGGAGAAACAAGGAGACAAACCTGGTCGGGGGTCTGAACTTTTAGTTATAGGAGAAATACTTAATGTACAGCATGGTGACTATAGTTAATAATAGTGTATTGTTTACTTCAAATTTGCTAAGAGAGTAGATCTCGAGTGTTCATATCACACACACACGATTATGTGAGGTGATATGTTAATTAGCTTAATTGTGGTAATTGTTTCCCAGTGTTTATGTATATCAAAACATCACATGTATACTTTAAATACATACAATTTTTGGGGCACCTGGGTGGCTCAGTTGGTTAAGCGACTGCCTTCAGCTCAGGTCATGATCCCAGGGTCCTGGGATCGAGCCCCACATCGGGCTCCCTGCTCGGCCGGAAGCCTGCTTCATCCTCTCCCACTACCCCTGCTTGTGTTCCCTCTCACACTGTCTCTCTCTCTCTCTCCCTGTCAATTAAATAAATAAATAAAATCTTAAAAAAAAATACATACAATTTTTTTGGTCAATCATAACTCAATAAAGCTGGAAAAAAAACCCCACAGTCACTTCTGGCTTGAAGAGAGAATCAAGTAAGTGATGCACTGCCAAAGGCAGTAAGTCCTCTCGTGCACCCCATCCCAAGACCAGGGGAGTTGGACAGCTGGAAACAGGATGTATCATCACCCTGAGTGTGTCTCATAGGTGAGGGAGGTGGGAATAGATGCCCAAAAGAGTCTGAACTTACAGTCTGTTGAGAGGCCAAAAGTCGTTATACACCCCTTTTTATCCTTTGAGATATTGAGGAAGGAATAGTGCTGTTTGTCTTCTAGCAAGAATCTCAGCTTTGAGAAACACCTTTGTTCTCTATGGAAGAAAATTTACCTTGAGACCTCCCAGGAGTTTAATGTGATAACATAGCGCAATGTGTGATTCTTAATAAGGTCCATAAATGTGAAACACCATTTAAAGGCTTGATGCACAATGCAGATCTGCAGAGAAGAGAAAACTAATGTGTGATGTATCAAGCACTTCACATTTAATATCAGCCAGTGATCTCAGCCACAACAATGGAATGCAACTCTGGCTGGAAATAAATTTCTAGACAATATCAACAGCTTATAGATTCTCCAGGAGGGCAAGAAAACAGTTTGGAAGCCTCTTAGCCAAGGACAACACCCAAAATTACTCCACAGACCGGTCAGATAGAGGAGTTGTTCTTGTCCTGAGGACACTTGGCTGTCATTTCGTCACTGCCAGATGGCAGCCACTGCTGTGTCTGGGAATAGAAGTAGAGTAGTCTCCCCCGCCGCTCTGTGAGGGATACGTTCCAAGACCCCCGATGTATGCCTGAGACTGTGGATAATACTGAGCCCTACGTATACTATGTTTTTTCCTATACATACCTATGGTAAAGTTTATAAATGAAGCTCAGTAAGAGATTAACAATAATAACTATGAATAAAATAGAACAATTATGACTATACTGTAATGAAAGTTATGTGAATGTGATCTTTCTCTCAAAATACCTTGTTGTATTATACTCACCCTTCTTGTGATGATGCAAGATGTCAAAATGCCTGTGTGATGAGATGGAGTGAGGTGAATGATGTAGGCTTTGTGACCTAGTGTTAGCCTACTGCCGACCTGCTGACAATCGGTCAGAAAGAGGATCACCTGCTTCTGGACTGTGGCTGACCAGAGTGACTGAAACCATGGATAAGGGGGGGCTACTGTAACCAAAGTGTGTGGTGCCTGCCTCCTCGTCTCACTAGACTCAGATTCATGGCTGTGCAGATCTGTCTGTTGTATGGGCCTGATACATGTCAAATGCTTAGAACAGAGCTCAGTTTCTCTACCTATAAAATGAAGGAGTAATAGTGCTTACCTCTGGGTTGTTTTGAGCATTGAACAAGATGATAGATGTACAATTCTCCAAATAGCGCTTAACACATAGTAAGAGCTCTATTAAAGTTAGGTGTTTTTTTTTTTAATTAAAAAAAAAAGGTTGGAACTGTTTTTATTCTGGAGGAAATTCCTTGACAAACCTACTTGGTTTAGAAGCTGAGACCCTGGGGGCAATGGAGAACAGGGTAGGGATGGCCCTCTTGCCAACCAGCAGGGTTGTCCCATCCCTAGCTGGATGTTGATGAACATTATCAACAGAACCTCCCTTCCCCTCCCCTGCAACCCCCCCACTGCCCCAAGTCTAAGAATTTGACATTTGTAACTTTAATTTTTCAAGCCGACCAGGAGGACAACATTGGCATTGCCAACCCAACCCCTGCTTTCTAGTCATAATAAAGGTGTGCAGCTCTCCTTGGTAGATGAAATCAGAAGGAAAAGGGTGCTGGAAGTAGACATGGTCTCCTGTGTAACGAGCAAACAGAAAGAACACTGGAAAAGGGTAAGACTGAGAAGAAATGGGATAACCAACCCAAGCCTTAACTTGGAACCGAATAAATCTCCCTTTGTGAATGACACAATAATCACTCCAGTTTCGTCAGAGTTGCCTTCCAAGAATTTCCCTGAATGGGTAGAACAGTGAGATCCATGTTGGCTGTTGGAGGGAGAAAAGCCCCTCTGGGAGCCACTGAGTCTGATTACTCTGTGTTGCTCAGTCTTATGACTTTGGCTCATGGCCATGGAAGTTGGGGGCTTCTCCAGGCACAGCTTGGTTGGACTGGTGAGATGTGAAGAAGGAAGCTCTGTGTGGTGGCGTTAGGTGTCCTTTCTGCTGTCAGCTTTCTGGAACATGGGGATGAGTCATTGAGTCTGTGTGTCAGGTGGGTAATGGTAAAGATGGGTTATTTTTTCAGTGTCACCCATGACCATTACCAAGTCAAATACTTTCATCATGAAAAGATGAGATGAAGTAGACGTTTCTGTAATAACTTATTACAGAATCATGAAACACTTATGGAACATTATGGCTGCAGAGTAGTGACTCCATTCCTTCACTTGATAAGCAAGAAAACAGTCCTCCTGGGAGTCATGGAGGGTAGGTGTTGAGTTGTAGGCAGTAGCCTAGGAGTCAAGGATGTCCTCCCTGGATGTCTCCCTTTCTTCTCACAAAGCCTAAAAACCCACAAATGGGAATGGTGGAGATTGCTGACTGTTGCCTAGTGTCCATTATTTCCTCCTCTTCTTAAATAGTATTCTCCAACCCCCATTATTAACTAGGAACATGGTTTCCCGACCACAGAATACATTCTCAGCTGTGTCTGGATCTGACCAATGGGATGTAAACAGACATGATTAATGCAATTGTTTGGTTGTCTTAGAGACAAAGCCACTTGCCCCAGTTTTTCCATTTCCCCCTTCCCTTTGCTGAAAAACACTGAAACTCCAGTAGCAGCCTTAGACCTAGAGATGGAAGCCACAGGCAGAGGACAGCAAGTCCCTTCCCTCATCCCCATCCATGTTCACCCTGAATCTCATCCCAGGATGCAAAACTTGGTCTGCTTTATCCTCAACCTCTGGGCATGTCATAGAAACTCAGAAAGTATTTGCTCCCGTCTCCATGATACCCTGTTTGATTCTTGCCTCTGCATCCCAGTTCCCTCTTCCAGACTTGGCTTTACTGGCCACTTCAGCCTCACTATTGAAAAAACTGATATACTGTTTATTCGTTTAGTCACCACTATTAGTCAGTTGTTTTCTTGGTCTCAGATGCTAGTGACAGAATATTGATAGAAACAGACAAGGGCTGCTTCATGGAGCTTATGGCCTACTCCCTGTGGGTTCAAGGGGGAAGCTCTTTGCCGCAGCTTGGGCCTAGAAGTGATTACCCTGCCCTGCTTCACAGTTGCCCTCTGTGTTGACTGGGAAACCCATTTTTCAAGAGAACTGAGAATGACATGATTAGGATTGTCAAGGACCCAGATGTGCTCCGTGAGCAAAAAACACATTGCTGGCTGGCAGGAAGCACAGGATGAAAGCTTCCCCAAAGAGGTGGATTGGTTAGTTTTCCTTTAAAACGGTTTTATTAGGGGTGCCTAGGTGGCTCAGTCGGTTAAGTGTCCAACCCATGATTTCGGCTCAGGTCATGATCTTGGGGTCCTGGGATTGAGCCCTGTGTTGGGCTTTGTGCTCAGCGGGGAGTCTGCTTAAGGATTCTCTCCCTCTCCCTCTGCCCCTCCCTGCCCCCCACCCCATTCATGCACGTGCTCGCTCTCTCTCTAAGATAAATAAATAAATCTTTAAAAAAAATAAAATGGTTTTATTAGCCAAGTTGCCATTTCTTCAATGTAAAGCAATACAGATAATAAAAAACAAAAGTAAAATAATCTATAAATCTTACCACCCAGGGGTCACTACTCTTAACATCTATGTATATATTACACACTTTTCATGTAAATCACATTTTTCATATAAATCATACATGCACAGCTAAGAAGGTTTTTTTCACATTTTAGAATTTCTGAAATCAGGATAGGTCTAGAAACAATGTATTTAGAAAGCAACATGTCATGGTTTAATTGGCAGTATGTTTCTTCTTAGTGATGAGTAAATTAATAGCCCATCTTACAACTGATGACATTTGAGATCTAATGAAGTAGATACATGTTTAGAGAAATGCCATCACCCTGCAGTGACCTGAATTTTTCAATTAATATGTTACGAACATCACCCTAAGTCAATAGAGTTTTACATTGTCATTTTTAATCGGCAAAGAATATTCCACCATGTAATTGTACCATAATTTGCTTATCCATCCCCTATTTTGCCTCATTTATTTTATTT